TGCATTTGTGCCTCTCGTGATGCTAAGGTAACTTAACTATGACAGTAAATCATGGTATGGTGTTTTTTGCCCACCACAATGAATGTGGGCACGTAAACAAATGTGGTTGCTGTGGCCAAGCTACTACGCTGCTGGTGTACAGTCTGACTTGCCCTGTAGCACCTTATGGTTCCATAGGTCTAAGCTGCTTGTTGAGCTGAGGCTGAACAGAGGAGCATACCAGGGTGAGGTGACAACCCAAAAGGTGCTGATTTAAATAGTGGTGCTGTGTGTGGTCCTATAAATGTGGAAATAAAAATTGTCCAGATATTAGTGCATGAAATCCTGAGCAGGATGCAGGTTTGTTTCAGCAGACAGGAGGTGGAAGCCGAAGCTCTTGCTGTCAAGGAGGAGCCAGATCTGGCTGAAGAGGAGGACAAATCTGGAGTGGATTCTCTGCTGGACCAGAAGCTTTGCTCTTAACCCGTAAGAGGTGCTTCAGACTGAGGCAGTCCACCAAAGGAAACGCCGCTCACATGAGCCTAGAGCAAGAGAGGTTTGTGGTAGAGAACCAAACTCTCTTCAGGCCCTGTGTTCTTCTGTGACATGCGTCAGCACCGATGGAATATAAGAAGTGTGGCTGACAGAACTGCCACCGCAGATGGCTGCAACTCAGCTCCGTCTTGTCTCTGCACACACCAGGACTTGAGCTGTAGCACCACCATGTGCCAGGTAGGTTGCAGTAAGTGCTGTCCCACTCCAAGTACCACAGGAGCAGAGGAGTAACCCAAGCTCCTAAACCTTGGGCTTTAACCCATCCCTGAAAAAGGGAGCCTGACAAATGTTGTTTTGTTTTGATTATTGACCTATGATGGTGCCCCAAGGAGGTCCTGGGACTAGTTGAGGCCTGTCTTGTTTCAGCTGTGTGCTGCTGTACAAGCCCCTCCAAGCAACAGTGCTGGTGTTTCCAGGTGCCACTGAAGTCCAAGACATGTTGGCAGCTGCTGTGGAGCTCAGAGGGCCTGGGGGAAAGGGCTTGCTCTGCCAATAGCTCAAATGTAGGCTGGGAGAGGAGATGCTGCATAGGAATGACAGCTTTCAAATTTCCTTTTATCTGCTGGCAGCCTGTCGTGGTTCTTGTTCCTGGTGGTTTCTGCCCTGCTGGTCACAACCTGCTGCAGCAGCACATGTGGGAAGATGAAGCTGATTTACTAGGGCCCCCTCACACCTCCTGTTTTGCTTTTTTGAGGGAATGATTTCTAAGCCACATTATTTAACATAATGCATATGCACAATATACTTGAATTATCAGATCTGCTCTGCATTTATTGTAGGCTGCTGCTTGGTTTTTTGTTGTTGTTGTTGTTTTGTTTTTTTTCCTGAAAAGCCCAAGCCAGGGCTTAGTGGGGATGGGAGCAGTCACCCTGTGACCCTTTTCCTTTCTCCTCAGACAGGTCTGGCACTGCTCTTTCAGCTGACCTGGTTTCTGCATGCTCACTCAGTAAGTAGTTACGTTATGCAGCCAGGTTTTGATATGACTTGAGTTAAGGCTTCTGCCCTGGGCAGGTATCTCCGTTTACCTTGGTTGAGCTGCTCTGGAGAGATGTGACGATCCCGTGAGCTCTTGAAGATAGACTCTGTCCTGGGTGATGGGGGCCAGCAATTCTGCGTGGTGCAACCAAGTCCAAATGTAGAAGCCCTAAGAAAGTACAAAAAGTGCAGTCTACTCATCCCTCCACTGTTATCCTCACCGGAAAAGCTGTACCCCAAACCATATGTGGAAGGGTATGGTTAGCGTGCATGGTTTTGTCCCCCACCACCCTGGTCACGCTGAGCTAACAGGCACTTGGAAGTGGCGTTAGCTCAGCTCTTTTCCAGACTGCTGCCAGCATCTCTCCCTTAGTGTGGTAATAGCAAAGATGGATGCAGAATGAGAGGATAAAAGTCTGTGAGCAAGTCCTGCTGAGGAAGGGAGGTCGTGTGGCCTCAAGAAGTGCTGCCGCAGGGTCCCCTTGTTTTTTCTCATGGCCTCCAGATCTATCTGCTTTGCCCAACTGCCATCCCTAGTGCCTGGGCTGCTGTCCTCAGAGTGGGCACTGGAGAACGGCATCAGCAGCACTGGAAAGCAGGCATGGGAGGCCGGTATTGTTTCTGAGTTGACTGCTGAAGCACCCTTGGCTTCTAGCACTTGAGAGCTCCCCCAGGTTGGAGACACTAGTTTAGGGCTTCTTTTAGTGCCTCTAAGCTTTGATAGGAGCCATCACCTACTGGGTGCAAGAGGACAGTTGTTCTCTCCACATCCTGAATTTCCTTGCTAAAGCCATGACAAAGCTGGGTTCTGGTGTCCCTTCTGAGATGTTCAGGTAGCAACAGCATAGTCTCCTGTCATCCTGGAAGAGCCATAGATCCAGGGAGTGCTGTCCCTAGGGGAACAGCCTGCCCTGGGCAGTGGACACCCTGCCTCTTACTGGTGCTTATCTGCCCATTGGCCTGGCTGCAGTGCTCACAGGAAGGCTGCTGCCACTGCTCTGTTCCTACACAAGACACTGCCTCAGCTGTGCTCTCCTGAGCTGCCTTCCCTGAACTGGCAAGTCAAGGCACGTTGTGGTCGGGCTCTATGGAGACAACAGTGTCTGCAGGGGCATCACTTCCTGCCTTGCTTTTGTGTTAAAGGATGATCTGAAAACACTACATTTTCTGCTTAGTCCCAGTGTCACTCAGGAATCAGCCTGTCCCAGGTTATTCCATCCCCATCTCTGCCTCTCCTGCTCAGTTCGGGTCAGTGGCTGTGCCACAGCGGTGCTCACCGAGGACACTTTGATCTGTCACCTGGGGCCTCTCTGCTCAAGTGGTCACATCTGCAGTGCCCTGTCACTGGCACCAGAGGCTTTCAGCTGCCCAGTGTCACATTAAGGGCCTGGGGCAGCCCCCTTGTCCAGTATCCTGCATGGGAGCAGAGCTGCTGTTCTCGTGCTTCGCAGCCACCTTTGAGGTGGGAATGGGCATCCATAAACTTCCCAGCAAGGGACGCAGGACAAGAATAAATCAACACCCCCTAAAGCTTTAAGTCTGGAGCCAAGGGGAGAAGATGCTGCTCCCAAGGAGGAGGAACGCACGCAAAACGAGAACTTTATCCCACGCGGCAGAAGAAGGGCCAAGGCGGAGAGTGAGGAGCACAGTGCTCTCCTCCCAGGGTTGCATTTGGCCTCACTTGTGGCCAGGCCCGCCTGAGCGAGCCGGTTTGGGGCCGGCAGCTCGGGTGCAGTGGGGCTGCGTGGGCTGCCCGCTCTGTCGCTTTCATTTCTCTTCTCTTGCTGGCTCAGTAAATCTTGCCTGACGGGGCAGGAAGAGGCACCGAGCGCTGGAAGGGGGAGGAGGTGCCGAGGCAGCGGCACTGCCGGTTGGTAACCTCGGTGCTTCCTCCAAGTACGGTGCCTTTTGCTCCAAGCAGGGGATGTGTTGAGGATGCTGCCCTGATACCTCCACACGTGCCCCGGGTGGTCGCCGCGGTCCCAGCGATGGCTGTGTCGTCCGGAGGGATCCCTGCCGAGCTGCAAGGTAAGACTTACCCATCTGCAGGCTTTGGGGATACCACACGGAGCACACGGAGCTTGCTGAGCAGGGGCTGCTCTGATGCCCTCATGGCTGCCTGGGGCTGGTGGGCTGCCAGTGGGTTCCTTATGAACCCCAGCTCAGGGGCATCTGAGCAGGGCCTAGGACATGGGGCTGCAACCCTGGCTCCTTTGAGGTTGCTGCTTAGACCAAAAATGTCCTCTAATAGCAGGACCATCAAGGATGTGGTTTTGTGAGGCTCAGACTGACCAGCAGGGCTTGCAGGTGCAGCACGGGGCCACCACGGGTGCGGGTTTGGGACCCCCTTGCCAGCTGGGAGGTCTCCAGTAGTTCCCTGACTGGCACCGCACTCGCACAGAGACCGGGCCCACAGCGCTGCCGCGGATCTTGGGCCGCAGGAGGGATGTGTGAAATACTGTGGCCAGCCACTACTGGCGCTTCAGGGAAAGCCCCAGACCTCCACGATCTGACCAAAAACCCGGATGACCGCAGGAGGATGAAGGGCCCTCGCTTCACCAGCCCCTCTGCTGCTCGCGGCAGGGTGGGGAGGCCTGGGCTGCCTTGTTGCCGCAGACCTGATGCCTACCTCCACCTGGTGCATCCCCAGGCACACAGTGGCCTAGGCCATGGGACCTGTGTGCTCCTCTTTCACCCGCCTTGGCTCTCTTTGGCATTGATCAAAGCAGCAGACCCTTCTGGACGCAAACATGTAAAGAAAATCCTCCAGATGGGATAGGTGCTCAGAAAAAAAAGGTTGGATAGTGTTGTCATGTGGTGCAGAAAGCCAGGCAGGAGCTTTGCCAGGAGAACTCTTGATGTGTGAGGGATATGAGCTAACAAGTCCCTGCTGCCAGTAGAGGAGCTAACAGGGCTATCGACAGCTTCAGTGAGGACCGGAGTGAACCGTGTTGTTGCGGAAACTTGGTCTGCTCTGCAAGGAGGCAGGCAGTTACAGTTCCAGTCACAACAGCCTGCTCTGAGCAAAGGGAATGAATCATGAGGAAGAAAGGAGCGGCTAGACAGAGAGGTGAAGTAAAGCTCAGGATGAGAGACAGCAGATGGCACTAGGGCTTGGGCTTGCCCACAACAATCATGGGATAGTGACAGCACTGCCAACATGGGGTGGCCAGCACGCATGGCTACCAATGCGTGTCATGGCCAAGACGATTTCCCCAAAAAATATATGTAAAGGATATATACATCTCTGGATGCACCATGAGGAGGGCAGGACTCATCTGGGGCATTGAGGAGCTCGGGGTGGAAAGGTACACATGGCCCTATGGCTAAGTACAGGAAGAAAGGAAGCGAAACAAGCTGTCCCACAGTGCCAGGTTCCCCATGAGCAAGTCTATTCCAAAGATGCACAGTGTAACCCCAGAATGGGTAGGCAGATGTATGTTATATTGAAATCAAATGCTAGGCACCCTAATAAAACCCTAAATTAACCCAGGGAGAAGTCCTGAAGGATCCCACCCAAGGTGGGCAAGCAGCACATCTGTGGAGGCTGGGTGGCACTGAACTACTGCCCTTGGTCACAGCTGTAGCCAGGGCCCCACCTGCCAATGGGCAGGCGGAGGTACCACCGGAGCGGCCACAAGGATGCAAACCAGGTCTGTGAGGAAGCACACAGCTTGCCGGAAAAGCCCTCAGGCACCAACAGTTCAATCTGATACCTCCATCATTGCCACAGAATCATGGAGAGAGCAAATGGTGCCACCAGCGTCTACCTTCAGAGGTGGCTAGAGAAAAGGGTTGTGGGGCCAGATTGGTTTGTGTCTGTGAGGGAGAGCATGATACCAAAGCCAACTGCTTCCTTTCTGCAAGGCCACAAGTAAAGAGCCTCTCCCTGGAAAGGGGTGAAGGGCCAGACTGGAATTCATTGCAAAGAACACACACCTGGTGCGAGGCATGTCCAGATAGTCTTATGCATGGGGATGCCACTGCCACACAGCACAGAGCTGGGGAGCACGGGTCATGGAGCTGGTTCCATATGGAAGTACATGTCATTGGCACGTCATGGGGGAAATCCTGGCTCAGATGTGATGAGGACCAGTCCCTGTTTTCCACCAGAGATACGCTGGGTGAGGGCTTTGGGCCTTTGGTCTATGACAGCTTGGTGGCAGATCCCTGCTGCCTGGGGATGCCCCCCCTTGGCAAGGAGGAGGTTTGTGTCATGTCATAGGATTGCTCAGGCTGCTGCTGTGATTTAGTAGAGCTGCAGCCACATGTTTACCTTCTCCGCAGAGGGGTATGCATGGCTAGATCCCATTCCTCTCCCCTTAGCCTTGAGTCCTCCCTCTTGGCATGGGAGTGGCAAGTTCTGGATGTGCTTGGGGTAACAGGGGAATCATCTTGGGCACGTTGTGCCATGCACCCTCCCGGGCAGCAGATCACAAGCACATAGTAAAAGGACCAAGTGTGATTCCTAGCTTCAGATGGATGAGTCACACTGGACCTCGGTCTTTTCAGAGGGCATCGCTGCCTTCCTGGGCACGAAGAAGATCCTCCTGGTCAAGACAGTCCAACTGCAGGTGAAATCCAAGTACGACGACTACGTCTTGGTATGTGCAGGGTCCATCACTCTGTCCCTTTGCTATTAGCCTGAGCTCGCTCAGGGTCCCAAATCCGCAGTGTACAGAGGACGCAGCGTCTACCCACCTGAACTGAGAGGGCCCTGGGTGACGCAGGAGCTGCCGTCCTGTTCAGCTGTTGGCTGGGCGGACCAGTCTGAACAGGATGGCAGCTCCTGTGTCACCCAGTCCCGTGTCACCGTGGTTTCTCCTGCCTAGGTGCTGACCCCCTGGCGAGCCTACGTGCTGCTGGCGATGCTGCCAGTGAGGGTAAGTGTTGGAGTCCTTCTGCTCTACAGCAGAGCCCCGCTGCTCCCAGGAGGGCCCTGCTCACTACCTTGGGACACCAGTGCAAGGCCAAAGTACCCTGAGCAGTGGGACCAGAGGTCTGAATTTCTCCTGGGAGCAGGGCTTGTCTGTGGGGTTTGTCTCCAGCATGTAGCAACATTGGGGGCTGCAGATGGGGGCAGGAGGCTCGAAACATGTCACTGGCACTCAGGTTAAGGGTTTGGGGCTGGAGGGCTCCAGCCAAGTGCAGGGAGAAGCTGTGGCCAAGCACTGCCCTGGGTGGTCATGAGGCAGAGCATGTGTGCCTGTGCTGTGGCTGATCCAGCCCTTCTCTGCCACCAGGTGCACAGCAGCTTCAGCTTCCTAGAGGTGCGGGAGATGACAGCGCAAGAGCCCAGCTTGGTGAGTGGCACCCCTTGGGAAAGCCCCCACTCTGAGCAGCTCCTGTGTCGGGCACGTCGGTACCTGGAGTGCCAAGGCATGTCCTGCCCGTCTCTCCCCATTGCAATCCCTGGCCTGGAGCCTGCTGCTGAGATGGGAGTGGGGAGGTCATTTCCCACTCATCTTATGTTGGGGGTCACCACCGCAGAGCTTTGGGAGCTTCCCAGCATATTTGTCCTTTTGCCACCTCCAAAGAAATCCTCTTAGGGCTTTGCCCATGCTGTTGCCCAGAGAAGAGGGAGGTGCTCAGGGGTGCAGAGCGGGGAGCGCGGGGTCTGCACCCACGCTCCTCCTGCAGACACGGCCATGCGCGCTGCAGAGCCACCGGAGGCAGCACCGGCCTTCTTCAGCATTCGGGTGACATCTCCTGCTCAGCAGGGATGAGGTGATCAACTGTGCCTGGCTTACCCAGGCAAAGCCAAATTTAGCAGGAAGGTGTTTTAAACCTCTGTAATCCTCTTAACAGCAAGGTATGCATGCACGGCAGGGGTAGCAAACCATGGAGGAGAGGAATGGAGTGTCCCAAATTGGAGGTGTCAGCTGCAGCCAAGGCTGCAGGCTCCGTTAGCCTCTTGCTTTTGCTCATTAAAGCACCATCACCAGTGAGAGCCCTGACTTGTAACTAGGGCTGCTGCTGCTTGACGTTAGAGAGACAATCCTCTTAGGAGCAGGCTGTGTCTCTGAGTTGCGCTTTGCTCAGAGCAGGCAGGAGCGCAGGGTTAAAGAGGAGAAAGGCAGGGAGAGCAGAAGGGGAAGCCAGGAGCCTCTAGACAGCAGAGTATCCGGGGCTGGGAATGGGATGATTGTAGACTGCAGAGCGGGAAAGCCGGCGCCTGTCCATCCTCGGAAGGGATGCCAGGAGCAGAGGAGCATACTGAGAAGGAGGGCTCCGAGGCTGCGAGCAGGACCGAGTGATGTCCAGGATGGTGCAGTGGAAAAAACAACTAAGTTCACAGCATCGGCTTCCCTCTGAGACCATCTGACTGCCCTGAGGCTTTAGGAGAGTTCTAGAGGTTCTTCACCTGCCAGACTGGGACAGGCAGAGATGGGCCCTGCAGTTGCACGTGGTGCCCCGTCTCCAAAAAGAAGCTGCGTCTTTATGCAGATAACTGTCATCTCCCTCCTACATCTCAATCAGCATGTAATTAAATTGGGGAATGTGTTGCCATGGGATTTTTGTGGGAGCCAAGAGCTAAAAAAGCCTCAAAACCCAACGAGACAAATTCAGGGAGGAAACCTTCATGGAGGCTGCGTAATGCAGCAAGCTGGCTGGGGCTTTGCTGGGCACAACAGACACAGCCAGCCAGCTGCTTCTGTGCGCTGTGCCTGCCCACTGCTTGTGCTAGGGATGCGTCCACAGCCCCCCAGGCACTTCTGCTCTGCCGTCTCCTCAGCTGCATCCAGGTTTTCCAGTTTTGCAGGAGCAAAAAGGTTTTCTCTGCCAGGACAGTGAGGGGCAGAACTGATCTGGAGGCAGTTCTGAGGGTGGAGGGAGATTTTGTTGAGTATGAGCAGGTTCAAGCACTGCAGTCATTGCCAAACTGGGTCTATCTTGGTCATTTCAATCCCTAAAGCTCTTGGCAAGAAAAGGACAGGCTGCTAGTGATTCTTCTGCGTCTTCCTAATCACCAGGAAACCATGAGCCTTAAGCTGGCATCATCCTATAGTTGTTGCTGTGGCTGCTGCAAGCAGAGGCTCTTCTCGCCCTCTCTGGTTGGGGCTGCTTTTGCGTTACCTTATTTAATTCTGTGGGGGTGGAGGCAGAGGAGGGGGGTGTTAATGTTTTATTCTGGCACACCGCAATATCTTTACTGTATTTCGTCCTAAATTCCTGTTACTCTCCACCTTACCTGCGCTTCCAGCACTCTGGCTGCAGTTGCAGCTGCAGAGGTTGGACTCCTGCAGCAAGAGTGTGGCCCTGGCAGCGTCTGGCCATTTGCTGTTGGTGTCATGACTGCAGCTTTGGGGATGCTGCACGTTGCCAGCTTTCTCAGATGTCTCCCATCCTTTGGCCTCTGCAGGTTACCATAGAAACAGATACATCTTATTATGCCTTCCGGCTTATGTCATCTGATGATTTGGAGCAAGTTGTCGTCCATGTCACCATGTCACTTAAGAAGGTCTTTCCAGACTCATCCCTTGGGTAAGGGTCCCGTAGTCCTCAGGGGTTGTCATGTAGGAACTGGAGGGCTCATGTCAGCTTGGAGGAACCATCCTTTGCTCAGACAGAGGCAAAAAACAGGTTGGGAGTCCAGCAAAAGGAAACCATGCTGATGGAGGCCAGATGTTCCTGGTTCTCTGATCACATTGGGAAGAGTATATCTGGGCCTAGCATATGGGTTATAGCTAGGTATATACTGGGATGGGGATGATTTTCTCCCAGCCTGTTCCCTGATCCTTCCTCCAGAATGCTGCTCAAGAACTCACCGCCTGATGTGTACGAGAGGATCCGGAGGATCACAGACTCCCTGGAGGAAATGCTGCAGAGCAACCAAGGGCCCTGTGGTAAGTGCTGCTCTCCCTGCACGCACACCAGACAGGGGCAGGAGGGCTGGAGCACCTCGGAGATCTGTCACAGCCCAACATCCCCCATTTCCAGCCACACAGTCATCACCAGTGTGCCCCATCTCATGGAGTAGGAACGAGGTGCAAGTAAGGAGCCTATCTGGCAGTCTGGAGGGGTTGCAGCTTCCTGGAAAGAAGGTGGGCAGCTACATGGGTATGCACCATCAGGATGCATCCACCCATGAGGATCCACAGCCATAGAAGCTCCTGTCTACAACACCAAGCCCGGGTCCTAGTTGTTTGGACCAGAATTAGGCCAACATAAGCTGGAAAGAGGGGTGGTTGCTAAAAAGACACAGTCCTGGCATAGCTCTGCCATCACCATGGCAACACAACTTGCCTGGCATCTTATTTCTGAATCTGGAGAGATGTTGTTATAGCATGGAAATTGGATCCTGGATTCTGTGGGGTGGTGGCACAAATCTGGAGCTGAGATGCTGATGGACACACTGGAGAGGCGGACTGTGCCCAAGTCCCACAGATTGGGAGGAGCATGGGAAGCCATAATGAGGAGGCCACAGCAATGTGCTGGGGAGGGCTACTGTGGCTGTAACCACTGGGTCTGTATGGGAGGAAAAAAAAAAAAACCTCTTAGTGAAGGGGTGATGAGAGAGAACAGGCAAGAGGAGCTAGGATCTCCTGCACGGATCTGGTGACAGGAGGGGAAATGCTGCCTCAGCTCCATGAATCGCGCAGTCCCTTTTGGCAGGGCTGTGGACCAAGAGGGATTCTGCAGCCCCTTTGAGGAGGGCAGGGAGAGCCTCTGCCTTCCCCTTTTTGCTTTCTGCCTCCCTCAGCGGTCTCCTCTGTGCTCCTCTGGGGAGGTCTGCTCACCAGGCCATCACTACTGCCTTCTCTTTGCAGGTGGGTTCTCAGAGACATATGCTGCTCTGTGCGACTACAACGGCTTTACCTTTCGCGAGGAGATCCAGTGGGTAAGCTGCTCCATGCTGCAGAAAGGAGCAGGCTGTTGGGAGGGCAGGGAAGCGGGATGCTCACTGGTGCCTCCACGCACAGCTATCCCAGGAGCAGAGGCATCCGGGGTGCTGGGAATATATAAGGGCCTGGATACATCCCAGGGCTGGGAATATCTCAAGGGCAAGGAGTATCCTGGGGTAATGGGAGCATCCTGGGGCTGGGAACAACAGTTTTACATCCTTGAGTGCTCCCTTCTCTTTGATGAGGTAGAATGAAGTGCAAGGGAGGATGAGGTACTTTGGACCAGGAAGCTTCTCAGGCTGACGTATAAGCTCCACAGCCCCAACAAGATAGTGTGTCCTCCTTCTCCTGTGGGACATCAGCTGACTTGAACACACATCTTTCCAGGCCCTTGTCTCCACCACATATTCCCACACAGAGGGGATTCGTTGGCTTCTACTGACCAGTTTGCAGAGGAGGGGTCAAGGAGCCACCACAGCCTGGGGAACAGTAGTACCAGTATGGGACATACGCTTTGTTGCCTCTGTCCCTAGGAAGGTTTCGGGCTGTGCATTCAGACATGAGGCTCCCGGCATCTGCCTAGGCTTTTGAGGGCTGTGGGAAATGGGTACATGGATGAGGGTCCTCAAGGAATCGGCCTCGGGGCAAAACGTAGCTCCTTCCACTAATGACTCAGCTTGCCAGGCACGGCAGCAGGTGCTGAAGCCCTTCCTGGCACTGAGCCCTGCCTATCTAATCTGTCTGGCAGGATGTGGACAACATCTACCACAGCCAAGACTGCCGGGAGTTCAACCTGCTGGATTTCAGCCACCTGGAGAGCCGGTGAGTCATTCAGCCCTGCCACAGGCGTCACCAAGGCAGGAGCGCCCCAGGCACCCTGGCCCTGCTGCCCTGCACGCGCCAGCCCTTGTCCCCTTCCTTCCTGTCCATGGCAGGAGCTTGTGCGTGGCACAGTGCTTTTCCATTCTCATGCTGGTGGTTTTTATCTCTTTACTTGCTCCAAAGATGGTAGGTTCATGCCCTGCTGGCTGCAAGCCAGGGACACTTCCCTATCTGTTTTTAGCACTTTCATAACCCCAAGAATCAGTTAAGCAGGTGAAAACTGAAGGCCGTGTCGGTCACAGCTTGTGTCTGTCAGGTGTTTCCCTATGCAAAACAGCCAGCTCTGCTAACAGCTGCAAAAAATTTACATTTCTCTGCCTCCCCTCCAGGCTGTAGCCCTGCCAGTGCCCCAGAGAGCTGCTATGGGGTTTTAGCCTCCAAATGAGGTGATGAGCTCAGGCTGTGCCCAGAGCCTTGGGCTCAGGTTGCCCTAGCAGCTCTTCCCACCAGCTGAGGCCTCCAACCCGATCCATACTCACGTATTTAGACATATCTAGACAGATACAGACATATCCAGAGATGTGGCCTTAGAAAAAAGGAGCAAAGGTTTATCTGAAGGGTAGGGCAGCTGGCCAGGCTCTCATCTGCCGCCTGGGGAAGAGTAAATCAAAAGTCTGGGCTTTTCGTTTTGGGGAATGGGTGATCTGTATTAGGACCACTTGAATGGGGACATTTATGGATATTTATTTGGACCAGAAAGTCACAAAGCAACTTTCTATTCAGTCAAGCACATGTGTTGTTCTTGAAATGAAAGTGAGTTCAAAACAAAAATGGACATCCTGACCAGGACATCCACATTTTCGATTGTTTCTGCCAGGGAACAGAAAAATCAATCTGGAAAAAAAAAGGAGCTCTGTTCTTAAGGTGCTCTAAACTCACAGGTCTTCTCTGAAAAATGCCTTGGCTGCTCAGTCCTGGTGGACACTGTGTTTGTGCACTGTTGTGGGGTATGACCTGGGTGGTGGTGGCAGTGCACACCAAAGCTGTTGTGGTTGTGCACCAGTTTGGTTTGCAGGCTCCAGGGGTGGTTGTGGGCAGCCACTCTCAGCCTGGCCTCTGACTGCCTTATCCTTGTCACCCTGCAGGGATGTGGCACTGAGTGTTGCTGCTTTGTCCTTCAACCTGTGGTTCACAAGGCTCTACTGCAAGGACTTCAGACTGGTGAGCGCCTATCACGCGGCTCAGGTCCTGCTGGAGCTGTGCCCCGGGGGATGCCCAGGCTCTCAGATGAGCTTTCTTTATCTGCAGAACCTGGAGGTTTCAGAGCAACTCCTGTATATGCTGAGCAAATCAGTGAAACTGGAAGAGCTGGTGCTGGAAAACAGTGGGCTAAAAGCGTAAGGAAACGTGTTGCTTTTCTGAGTGTATTCTGTCCTATTGATGCAGCCTGGACAGTGACAGATAATTGCCAGTACAGGGAGCTTCCTCAACCTCCAGCTATTTAGCTGATTATGTCCCCAAAATGTTAAAACAGCAAAAATTTTTGTCAATTTTGAATCTATAGGTGTCTCTGCATGCACAGTGCAATGTAGCCCAGCTTATCCATATGCCCTTCTCTCTTCAGTGACTTTGCTCAGAGGATGGCCCAGGCACTCAGCAGACATCCTGACTCCATGCTACACACCATCAATCTTGCTGGCAACCAGCTGGAAGACAGAGGTACCCCGTTCTCCCGCCATGTCACGGATGAGTTTAAGCTCATATAAATTGTTGTTTATTCTCCTGCTCTGGGACTTCCCTTCATCCCTTTCCCTGCATCCGTGTCCCTTTGGCAGCTGGGCAAAGGCAGCTCCCTTCCTGGAAGCACCAGCGGGGAGCAGCAACGGGAACGAGCTGGCTCTGCTCTCAAACCCTAATTCTCTGTGCAGGCTGGAGCAACCCACAGCCTCCTTCCACAGCTCCCAGCCCTTGAGCTTTCCAGCAGCTCAAGACACCCATCTGTGTTGCTGTGCCTGCAGCAAGCAGCTCAGCTGCCCTGCACTGTGGGGACGATAGCTGAGGGTGGAGCATACACCCATCTGTGCTGTCATGGCTGCTCAGGGCCTTCTGTTTCATCAGGGATAATTGCCTTCAGCCGGCACTTGGAGAAGAGGCCCAAAGGCCTGCAGAGCCTCAACCTGGCCAGGACGTCACTCACCGCTAAAGGTACAGCCCTGAGACCACACTTCAGGTCCCAGGTGGGAGGCCAGGCACGGAGACTCCATTCACAGCACTCGTGGCTTGGAGGGGCCAGGCTGGCACCAAAATGATGTTGCAGTGCCTCACTGGGCATGGCACCCTGGGTGCACAGGGTGACAAGGAATGAGGAGAAGGAACAGTCCCTCAGGGATGCCTTGGGTGGGACATATATGAGGGCACAATGTCCTGCTGCCCTGGATGTAGGAAATTTTCT